ATTTTTAAAACTCCTTGATATCTAGGACCATGCATTTTCTGCATTCTGCAAAGCTACTCCAAGAACAGATATAATGCAAATTATGTCATTGTAGGTAACAAAATAATTTTCTCACTATAAAAGTTGGTTTTCCAAACAGTACAACTTCATTTTATAACCTAAATTTATTATTAATCTACCTTTGTGCAAGTTAATGTACTGAAGACTCTGTCCTGTCTCTTACCAGAAACTAAACCCCAATTCAAAATCTCACTCATTATTGTGTCACGGCAGCATAATATAGGAAAGTTCAGACCTTGCAGTCAAATACCAACTCTGCAGTTTACTGGCTGGTTGAGTGGCCGTTAATAAATTACTTGACTTCTCTAAGCCCCAGTTTCTTCACCTGTGAAATTGGGGAAAGTCTTTGCTTGCAAGGGTTGCTATGTAGCCCTATTTGTCTAGCACACAGTAAGTGCTCAATAAATGGTTAGCTATTACTGTAACATTTAAACAAAAAATCTAACTTCATGACATGCCTAAACAATGCATTTCATTTCAAAATTTTCACAGCTCTTAATCATTTCTAACAAACTATTCAAAATGAGAAATCTTATTTCACGTTAGTTTTTAAAAATAAACTTTAAGTAGAAAAAGAACAGTCATCAAATAATAGAATAAACAAGGAAGCTTCCCAGAAAATACATACCAGCTTCAACTGCAAACACATTTCCTCTTTCTGTTTTGGGCAGAAGTTCAGTACGCTCTTTATTGGTGACAGGAAATCTCTGAATTAGGCTCCTAACAGCATGTTTTGTATTATGAGTCAAATTACAGGTCATCATTGCATGAGCTGTTTCTGATCCATCTTTCTTCTTCACAGTTAGGTATCTATTTGCACCCTTTCTGAATATTAATAAAAACCATTTATTTACTATACATAGTCAATTTGTTCACATATGATGTATACCTACTTAGAAAACATGTCTCAAGCAAAACACTGAAAAAGACCAAAAGCTTTGGGATAAGGTACTGAAAATCCCAAGATATTCAGTAAAAAGGGGGTTGGTGCTAAAGTGGCCACAAGACTAGTTTCAATTAAAATTTCAAAATGCTGCAAATCCAATTTTAAATGAGCAAAAAAGGCTTACTTACCCTTCAGTCTTAAAGTTTGTATTAGCAGGCTTCATGGTGGATGAAACATGACCAGTTAATACATACTGGGAACCATATAGAGGGAGAAAATCAATATGAACAAAAGAATCTAAAAATTATAAAGGAAAAGTTATGGTTCACTGTTCAGACTATATTCCATTGAATGTTTCCCAGTATGCTGGTAATGCCACATTCCCATGAAAACCTGTTAAGAAAGCCAAGTTTAGAAACCTGGAAGAAAATAACATCAGTAACAGACAAGTAATTTCAAATGTATACTAGGAAAAAAAAGAAGAAATTATCCAAAGCTTCTGACTCTAGCCTTCAATTATAAGGTAATGATGATTTGTAATTGTTCTCAAGTTACTTGATGTAGGTGTATTTGTTTCTCCAATTGGTCCAGGACTGACCATGTCTTTTACGCCCTTCATAGCTTCAAGAGTACTAAGTATAATACTATACACATAGGAAGTCCTCAAATATAATTTGAATGATTTAATAATACATGTATATAATCTAGTACAATGTAGTACTGGTAAAGACAGGCTCTGAAAACACACAGATCTGGATTTAAATCCTGTCTCTACCACTTACTAGCTGTGGGACCATAAGCAAATTATTTAATAGCTCTGACCCTAAGATAATAATAATATCTGCCTCAAAAGACTATTCATAATGTAAGTAAAGGGCAGTATCTGTTACAGAGTATGTACAAAATAAATGAAAGCTTTTATTATAATCACAGTCAGAATTGAAAAAAATATCAATTCTTACATTAAAACAAAAGTTACCCAAAACATTTCATAAAATGCTTTACCATTTGTTAACTCCACTATCATATTCTAGAAATGAGCAACTTAGCCACAAATACAAAGAAAATTGTGTGTATAATTTTCCTAATTCTCATTAGATTTAAATTTTTTCAACAATATCTTCACTATGAGAATGACATAAAACTGAAGATTAACCTATAGTTTTAGCTATCTTTTTTTTTTTTTTGGAAGAGTTTTTTGGTTTTGGTTTTGTTTTTACTTAAAGTATAGTTGACTTAAAATGTTGTGTTAGTTTCTGGTGTACAGCATACCGATTCAGTTATGCATTTATACATATTCTTTTTCATGTCATTTTCATTAGAGGTATTTACAAAACAGAAACAGACTCAGACATAAAAAATAAACTTATGGTAACCAAAGGGGAAAGGGGCAGGGGAGCCAAGGGATAAATTAGAAGTTTGGGATTTGCAGATACTAACTACTATATATGAAATAGATAAACAACAAGGTCCTACTGTATAGCCCAGGGAACTATATTCAATATCTTGCAATAACCTATCTAAGTTTTCTAAATGAAGCTTTCAATTTACTAAGATTTTTAATTTCTGAAAACTCTGTAATGAATTATAAGCTTTTTATGCTATCATCTACTCCTTAACGAGTGTTTAGTGATGCTTATATAATGGCATAAAGATGAAATAATTAAAATTTAACCTGATTGAGAAATTTTGGTCATTTCCCATGGTAAATTAGAATTACTGAATTCTTGAGATGTTCTCTGTAATAGGTTCTTTTCCCATGGGCCTTTTTGAAACTTCAGTACACTCACGACAGACTTAATCATTCATTTCCCTTCCGTGCCATTTACTTCATAAAATTTTACCTATAGAAGGCCAGAATGTGCTGAAATGAGCACTAGAGCAAGAGTCAGCAGGCTTCTGTTCAGCTAGTAATAATCTTCCAACTAACTATATGATCAAAAATAATTTACTTCTCTGACACAGTATACTAGTTAATTTTTAAATCTCTAATATTTCTATTAGCTCCAAGATGCTTTAATTTTCTTAAAAATCATCTCAGTAAAGTTTTTCTATATTTCACCTTTAACTAATTTTATTTATTCAATCATCATATATTGAGCACCTACTGTATGCCAGGCACTATGCTAGAAGCAGGGATTACAAAGTTGAGGAAAATACAGCCTTTCCTCATTAAGCTCACAACTAAAATCACAGGTCAGATTGAAACTTTCCTAACATAGATTACCTAATAATAATACAGCATTAATGTGTAATAATAACTCATACTAAGCAAGCGTGAGTGTTTAGCCATTACCATTTTAAATTTACTAAATTCAGTTTATACACAGATGGCAGAGCAGAAAGACAACATCAATTTGGTAGCTTTTATGTTTTAGTAAAAAATTTTATTTGTGGCAATTAGTGCTCGTTCCTATCCCATTCAGCACCACAGTGACACTGATAAAAACTGGTATAATTAAAAATTAGTGAAATTTTAGTAAGATACTCACCTCATTGTTGTGAGAATGAATACACTAGAGTTGTCCTACTATGTAAACTACCACACTGAGATCCCTTCATTATCCTTTCATTCCAAGGTAATGGACACTATACATTGATGAAAACTTAACAATCCCCTTTACAAAGCATAATTAACTAGAAACTACCTACATGGAAAAGATGCTAGATAAATTAACTACATAAGAATTTTTTAAAATAATGAGATGCAAGTCCCATATGGCATATTTAAGTATAAAAGTGAATGGACTAAACGTATAGATAAGATCATAACTTCTAACTTTCAAAGGGTAAAAGTAATCAATACATGTTATAATGAAGTTTTGACATTTCAATAGCTTCTTTCTTTTAAAGAAAGATGATGATATAACTAATCAAATTTAATGCAATTTTAATATTAATGTTTCAATTTACACGGCATGTTATTGAACAGTTTACCTCAAATACAACCTTGCTATTCCCCACTTTCCAAATCTGAGAACAGTTTAAAAATCTGCTAAGAGCCAAAATCTGAAATGACTCCCTAAAAAGCTCATAACCACCAAGGGCAAATGTCTCTAAAAAGATAGTACACATTTGTTTGATGTCTAGTAAATACTTAATTTCATTTTTCCTTAATTTATACTTCCATTAGGCAGGTAGATGAAAAGACCTAACTCCAAACCACTATCTCCCCAATACTGCAATACCGAATTGTAAATGTATTAAAGTTTGCATCATACAAATTTGTGCTTTTTTATGATTACCAGAAATTAATAAACCAACCAGTTAACTTCGTCACTAAACACAATTACTTTCATGTCATATCACTATTTGTGGTAAATTCTTTTCTTTTTGCAACTTAATGGATTATAAGCAATTTAGAGATGAGACTTACCTAATATTTCTATTTTAACTCCTCACAGTTCTTAGAACATTACTATGACTTACTATGAGCATCAAATATTAATTAGCTAAACATTAACTGTTCAGTTGTTGGCTCTGCCATTTCTAGCTGTGTGATCTTGGGAAAATTATTTAATCTAAGCTCAAATCACCTCATCTGTTAGAGACCAAATATTAAAAATAGAACCTACTAGACAAGACTGTTGTGAGAATTAAATAATAATCTACTTAAAGCACCCTGCATAATTTCTGTTGCACAAAAGCACTTAGTAAGTGTTAGCTGCTGTTATTACTATTACTGTACACTGTAGGGCTTTATTTTAATGAATATCCAAAAACTCATTAACAGGGTTCATCACTTTTAACCCATTTTTCCTATTTTAGCTGGGCAAAGAGAGGGGTAGTACAGTCTGCAACATTCTAGGGCAGGAGGGAAGGGAGTCAGTAACTCAAACCTGAAAGGGGGGACTTGTAGGATAGAGCCTCCTGGTCAGGGTGAGTAGAACGCTTGGATACCTATTAAGCAGCAACTTAGCAATCACAGGATAAAAAATTTCTATTTGGAAAACCTGCTTTCATATACTTTATATTTTCTCTTCCCAAAATTTTTAACAAAGTTCACTTTATAAAATTCATTTTGTCTAACTTGGACAAAAAGAATAGGAAAGAATTTTGTTTTATTTGTGAATAAAGCAAAGACAGAAAAATGTGCTTAGAACCAAACACAAGGACATCAGTTGAGAAAAAAATGAAACAAATTATAAGGAGATGAAATTTTTCACTAGAATTTCAAAGAAATTTGACTAGAATTTCAAAGAAAACTTTAAGATACACTAAAGAAAACAAAATGGGGGTGCTACTTCAACAAGAGTATTTTCACCAAAAGATGAGTAATTATAAAAAGTAATCAATTCCAAAGTAAATTCAACTCTCTTAAGAGGAGATAAAAAACAAAATTCAGCACACATGGCCTGATTTTGAAAGAAAGGAGATTAAAAAAAAAGTGATCAGAAAAAAATGTAAATTACCACACAGTAAATCTGGAATCTAATTTTTTTTTTAATGGAGGTACTGAGATTGAACCCAGGACGTCATGCATGCTAAACACAAACTAAGCTATATCCTCCATACTATAATCTACTTTTAAAAACCTTGTAAGAAACTAAAAATAAACCACAGGATCACAGAATCTTAACTAACACAAAGAGAATAACTCCTTTACATCTTACATTTAATAAAACAGGCCTTTAAAATTACGGGACATGACTAAAGCTAAATAACGAGGCAGTGAGAGATTAAGAGTAGAATCTAGGTCTCCTGCCCTTTCCTCCACACCAGGTAGTCACTCAAACTGGTAATAAGGAACCATAATACCAGGCACAAAAGGAAAAAAAAAAAAAAGAAAAGAAAAAAGAAAGACTGACTTGTTAAATTAACAAAGTTAATCCTAGGAGGTTAAAAAAAAAAAACTTTACTTAAGGGTAAACAGAAAAACCCATGAAATAAAAGTCAGGTACAAATTCTCATATAAATGAAAATAAAGGATTTAATAAATATATTCAAAGTGACTTAGTTCATTATATAGGTAAAAAGAAGGAAAGGCATTTGAAAGTGATAAGGACACTAGATAAACACAGCTTCAGGTTTGCTTAGAGATAAAAAGGGGAGGGAAAGAGCTTGGATATTTACCAAGAAGAGGGTTTATGGACAATTAGATATAGACAATAGGGTTGAGAGAAGTAGGCGGTTGCCTTGCTTCCCTTAGCATCTCTTTCCTTTTTTGTCTCTCTTTCTCCCCGTCTCTTCAGTATTTCCTCACTCCTCTTTTTTGTCCTGATAACTTCTTTCTTGCTCTCTCCTTTCCCGGAACTTTTTTTCTTTCTGGACCATTCCTTAAAGGATCATGCTACTTAACAAAAGTAGAGGTAGTCAAGTCTAATGGACTGCTTTTCTAAGAGTAATTTCTAATGGTCCTTTCTAAATTAGCTGTTCAGAATTCAAAATCTATTTAACCATAGAAATGATGTAGCTACAGAACTGTGCATTTATTAACAGGTGTTTTCTAACGCAGGCCCACAATTTCTTATCTATTCTTAAACCCCAATGGCTCTGAGAAGTGAAAGATTTTTGTAAGTCTGCAGCAACTTCATTTGGCAGCAAAACCTGGTTAAATTGACATGAACTATTTATAGTCTTTATTTATCTTAGTGTGAATAGTCATACATTTTCCAGCAGAAATATTAATGTGATTAAAAATGCCTACCTCTTATTAGGGGTATTACATAACACATTACAAATATACCTTGATGACTTTCTAAAACCTGAAAAATCTGCATCTCAAAACATATTTGGCCCAAGTGTTTTTGGATAAAGGACTGTGGCTGTGCACCCTATTTTTATTTTCAAGGGCAATGTTTTACCTACTCAGAGGTCTACAGTATAGGTGGAACCTAACCAGGATTCCAACACTGGCCTTAGTGATGTTCAAAATGCACATGCTCCTAAATTAAACTCCTGTCTCAGTCAGTAATTATCATTACTGTGGTGGACATCATATGCAAGAAATTCCTACCTCAGCTACTTTCTTCTTAGGACCTTTTTACTATTTATTTATTAATATATTTAAATATTAATATATTCACTTAATTATGGCTTTGTTTTGCTTTTCTTAACCTAAAAGCTGGAAGCTGAAACTTTATCTTTTTCCCCCACCTACCTCAGTGGTTCTCAATCTGGAGCAATTTTGCTCCAGGGGAACGTTTTGGAAACATTTAAAGGCATTTTTGGTTGTCACAACTAGGGGAGGAAGTATTACTGGCATATAGTGAGTAAAGGCTAGGTATGGTTTACTAAACATCCTACAATGCACAAAACAGCCCTCCAGTCCAAAATGTTAATAACACCAATATTGAGAAGCCCTACTCTATTATCAATCCCACCATTCTTATTCCCAAAATGAAACAGTGCCACAGAATTTTAGAGTTCAATTTGGACGGCTCATAGGGTTTTTCCCCACTATGGATCAGTGACCTTCAAAAATCATGTATGTTTCCTCTTGTTTCATTTTATTTAATCATTTCTAATCATCAGATTCTTGACTTAGCATGAAAGAAAACAAGCACGTGTTCTAAAGCTTACCATTACAGTACTGCAGCATTAAAAGAGGTAAGTACTGTAAAGAATTGTACTTATTATCTTTAGTCCATCCATTCCTCAAAAAATAAGTTTAACTCTATAAAAAGAAGAAAATATCTTTCTCAATGCAATCAGCTTCAACTCTTAAACCATTTTTTTCACACCTTAACATTTCCCTTCAAATAAAAAAACAAAAACAAAAAACATTTCCCTTCTTTTTCTATCCTCTACCAACCAGAGAAAACAAATAAACGGGATAGGAGAAAAAGCAAAGAGCTGGGTTAGACACACGCACGAATCATATCATCTACATACAATACAAGTAAGGATGTGAATCTAAAACAGTAAAACTATTTAGTCAAAAATATTTCTCTAATACAGACTTG